GCAGTTGGGAGCAAGCAGGCTGGTGGGGAGGGCAGGTGGGGGTGAGCAGGCTGGTGGGGGGGGCAGTTGGGGGTGATCAAGCTGGTGGGGGAGGGGCAGTTGGGGGCGAGCAGGCCAGCAGGCAGAGTGGTTAGGGGCAATCAGGCAGGCAGGCAGGTGAGCGGTTAGGAGTCAGCAGTCCTGGATTGCAAGAGGGATGTCCGACTGCCAATCCCTGGGATCAGGCCTAAATCGGCAGTCGGACATCCCCCGAGGGGTCCCAGATTGGAGAGGGTGCAGGCTGGGCTGAGGAACACCCCCCCCCCTGCACAAGTTTCGTGCACCAGGCCACTAGTTTATTTATAGAGTCATTCCATGGATGTCTTTATACTAAAGCAATAACCATAGCATTTTTCATATGACACTTCAGCTTTCTAGCCCAGAGTCTCACAATGTCTATGTCCATAAATACAGTCTATTGTGTCTTATCTAAATCATTAATCCATTGACCATTAAACCAACAGTGTTTAGATTCAACCAAAAATAGATTCACAAAGACAAAGGTCTATATGAAAGCTTCAAAACAATTAAGATATCGGTGGCTCATGGTAGACACCCATACATGAAAAGTAGACAAAGCCCCCTAGACATCTATCTATATATATAAAAGCCTAAGCAACTGGCCAGCTGGCTGACTGGCCAGTAACTATAAAGTGCACTGACCACCAGGGGGCAGACGTTCAACGCAGGAGTGGAAACTACAGGCATGAAAACATGGAACAGACTAATGAATCTCAGAGAGAAGAGGGGAAGGGGGAGGGCAGAAAGAGATTAACCAAAGATCTTATATGCATACTAGAGGCCTAGTGGACGGATTCGTGTACCGGTGGGGTCCCTTAGCCTGGCCTGCAGGGATCAAGCCAAAACCAGCTCTCTGACATCCCACGAGTGGTCCTGGAATGTGAGAGGGTGCAGGCCAGGTCAAGGGACCCCACTGGTGTACGAATCTGTGTACCAGGCCTCTAGTATATTTATGACATGTGTTTTTGCAGCGAACTAACTGGGTGCAGGGTCCCACGGAAAGCAACCACTGGCCAGGACTATTAGCATAAGCCAGGAGGAAGACAGGAAGAAAAAGATAGAAAGAAAGACAAAGGGAAGGCAGTCAAGGCAAATGCATACTAAGGAAAGGAAAGTCTGAATCACTACTTTCATAGGAAGAGAATGTATATTTATCCAACCTCCAGGATGCATGTTTCAACATCTCCATCCATTCTTTACCTCTTCCCTCACACTTGACTATTGCAATGAGAAGCACCACAATTCTAAAAACAAAAGCTGTTGGGTCATACATTTTTAAATCCCCTCTGAAATATCATTGTAATCCATCTCCCAATTCAAGATCCATTTTCCCCTTCGTATGGGGATTATCACAGTATGTAGTGATAACAATTGGACATTCCCCAGCTAGCTGAATCTTAAACAAACTATGCAGGAGGCAGCCAACTGCTATTATAGGTAATTTTTTAAAGCATTCTCTCAAGGGGATGTTCATTTGAGATGCCTTTAATGATACACTCTGGCTTAATTCTGCAAACAAGTCCTCACACAGCCAATTTAGAAGCCACAGAACACTCAAAGAAAAGGCAGTCTCCCCAGTTGCACTCCTCTTGTGCCTAGCTCACCAGCATTAGCAAAGTGTGGAAATCCTGCCAAGAATAAAGACAAGTTCTTTCTAATATCCTTAACCATCTCTGTTTCACTCTTTGCTTTACGGCAGACCTAGATCACCCAGAGCTTAAATCCAGAGATGGAAAATAGAAATGTGTTGTGCTAAGGTTTCTGCATCGTGTCCCCGCTGGCTCCATCACTCTGTTCCTGGTGCAACTGTCCCCTCTTTGGGGTGACCCAAATAGTCTACTGCCTGAGCTCCCTGAACAGGCAGGGTCACACATTTCTCAACAGATTCCGGGCTGCCCATTTACCCTCAGAAATACAGGAATTGTCATGTTCAAGTACTCCACATGCTGTCAGAAGGCCAGTGATATTTGCTTCTGGAGCCCCTGCAAGGAGTAGAAACATCTGATCCTAGTTGCCTTTGTCATCGATTCTTGTGGCCCAAGTCAGACTACCAACATTCCTATAGCATCTCATCATTTTGGAGGAGGTTGATACCTAGAAGACAAGATGCCTCCAGGAATCTGAGCTCTGAATCATCTGCCATGGACACGGTGGGGCTCTAACTTAAAGAGTTCAACCCAGAGACTTGCTCTTTGTGTCCCTTCCTCCACCAAAGGACACTCTTTTCTTCCCTGACCTATCTGAGTAAAACACCAGACTCTGAAGTAACAAATTGAAAGAAAGTGGACTTTTTTTTTTGAGGCAGGGTGATGGTGATAGTGGTGGATTTTTAAGCATATGGGGGGTATAAAAGACCAGAGGTGATTTTTCAAAAGCCTTTTCACTTTGCCAGGAGGTCGCTGTTGACAAATCTGACTGATACACAAACCTCAACCATTTATCAATTGGAATATTAATTCCAGTGCTGTGTTCTTCATTGTTGATGCTCCAAAGTCTGGAAGATTGATGTGGCTGGCAAGGCTGCAGGAATTCAGCCCATTTTTCTAGGAACATTTTGATCTAATAGAGCTCAGCAAAGTTGGGAAGGGGGAAATGCTCTCAACAGGGACAATGAATGTCTATATAATTTGACAGGCGCCTGTCTGTGCATGTCACACGATGTGTCATTGTGTGTGTCTGCACGTGCTTGGGGAGATACAATGAAAAGACAGACAGAAGAGTCAGGGGCACATCACAGTGTTATAAGAAATTCATATGAGGACTTGAAAAAAATGTCTTATAAAATTAATAAAAAGTTTCAAATTGCTGGGTATGTGCAATTTGCTGAGTTTGGGGTAGAGAGTTCTAATTACTGAGCTGACAAATATGACTTATGCCTGGAAACATTTTTAACCTATTTTTCTTTTAATATGTCTCAAGTTCAAAGAGCCATTTTTTCTTTGATCAGAGCTTCTGGGTAAGGTCTCTACATCTATGACTTTACAGGCCTCTCTGAGCCTAACTTAGACTTATTTTGTTGAGATAAGAATCCATGAAGGTCGTCTGGGGAAGGACCTACAATGCCTTCAGGGCAAGGGGAGAGATCACTGTTCTTGAGCAGCTGTATAAGCGTGCCTTGTGTTTTCTGTATTCTCATGCTTCAATCTTGGGCTTGATGATACTGAGGGACTGTCCTGTGTCATCCTCAGGTAGTAAGGAACTTGCCTCTGAGTGAGCCTTTCATATACAAACCAACTAATCTGTAATCTACACCCCAACCACATCCCTTTTCAAGTTATCATACTCCAGGCCATTATCCACGTGTTCCATTACCCCAGAGCCAGGTATCAGACAACCAGCGACAGCTCCTACACCCCAGAACCCTCTGAAGCTCCTCAAACCATCCACTCCTAAACCTGCTACCCCTGCCTCGCCCACTCCTTCCCGAGGAAACCACAATAAAGACTCTTGTTTCTGTTTTCCCCTCACTCCTTCTGCCTCCTGATTGACTCAGGTGCTTCTCCCTGAGGTCCCCCTTCCACATGGTGTGCCCTCTTCTCTGGGGAACTGTGAATAATGAATTATCTTTGCGTCAATGGCCTTCATCTCCTGACCTATTGGCCTCACCATCCCTGAATAACAACAAAACCAACATTTTAAAGCAGCAGCGCCTCTGACGAACTGTAGCTGAAAGAACAATTCTGAAGAATTCTTTCTGCTGTGGCCTAAAAGGGTGAAATCCTGCTATTGGAGCTTTTGAGGAACCAGCACCTCCCTGCAGGGTGAACTGGCCTGAAAAATGTTTAAGTGTTAGAGTGATTTGCTATTTAGTGGAGGGAAGGCCCCATCCCACAGCACTGTTGTGGGAGAGTTTATCACCCAACTCCTCCTGCCCCCCTCACCCACCCCCACACACACATACACAACACAAGCCATCAAACAGGCCACCTGACACACTGCCCAGGACTCTCTCTGGTTTCTCGAAATGCCTATGATCAGTTGTATCTGAAATGTGCCCTGGGGAGTTGCCGACAAATCCTGAGGTGGTTGAGCTTAATGTTCCAACTTGACCACTTCTCCACTTTCCCTTTGCTGGTAGAGAGCTCTTCCCTTGGAATTCATGGGGCTAGTTAAGGACAGACTGACTGATATCAAGTTCAAAAAGGGAAATGAACAGGATTCTTCATATGGACAGGGAGGGCTCACAACTGAAAGGCTCCATGACACTGGTATACTTTGCAACTTTGCCTATAGCCAACCTTGCAACCAAAATGAATATTAACCAACAGATGCCCAAGATGGCTAAATCTTGGAAAAGCGTATGCAAAATGGAAGGAAGTCTGTCTTTTCATGCCTTCTTAGCAATTCCTCTTCATTGTCTCTGTACGCATAGAAAATACTAAACAAATTGGAGGTCCTGGGAGATCACACCTGATTTCAATCCTAGCGATGAGCTACATTATTTGCACTCATTTGATAGCTATAAGCTCTGCTCTTCAATTGTCAACACAATTGCAAGGAATCGAATGCAATCAAGCACAAATCATAGTGTCTAGATGTTAGCCTTTTCTTGAATGAGAAATGGTCATAAACAAACAGCTGATTTACCAATGCAGAAATTTATTACATCGTGGCCAATGAGAGAAAGTTAAGAACCACACTTTCCAGGCATGAATATTCAGCCAGCTTTGCTGGGCATGGAGCTGCAGTCCAGTTGTATTTTATTTCTTTAATCTTCTTAGAAATGCATCAACAACCTAGAACTGGATGACAGCTGACACATCCCCGGAGGGTAAAAACAAGTCAACTTCAAGAATACAAAACCATTTACTGAAACTCAATGAGCAACATTAATGCCTTTTCTGGAAAAAAAAAATTCTAGGCCTCCTTCTTCAGCAAGTCAGAAACTAGGAACATGAAAAAATGAATCAAAGGCCAACAAGTATGAAGAGGCTCAACAGTTTCATCTGAATTAAACACAAGCTCATTATTTATCCAAAGATGAAGTAACTACTTACCAACACCTTGTCTTGATTTTACATTCCCAAATCCAAACCATGAGAAATCTGAAAACCACAACAGAACATAAAATAAACGTCGAAAGAGAAGCGTAAACCAGAGGTGTTCAGCACTGTCCTTAGTGAAATAACTCCAACGCCCTCTCAAAGTTCCATTAAGGACCGAAGCTTCCTCTCAAACTCCCAACCCTCGGATTTTTGTGTAAAGATCTATTTCTCATCCTGAGAACATCGAAGTTCAAGTCAGGTAAGGGACAACAACCAATCTTCAAGAAAAAGAGCCAAAACTCAGGGTTAAAAGTTCTGAGCAGTTTTCTCCCAAAGTATGGAGTGGAACAGAAGAGTTGCTGGGTGGAAATACACAACGCATCTGAGAAATGCACGAGAGTTCTGATCCTCAGCTGTGTGAGAAAAAAAGAAGAGAAAGCAGATCTTCTCTGGAGCTAAGACAGCTAAGATTTCATGTTCCTCTTCTGGCAGAAGAGGAACATGAAATCCCATGGGAGAACGGACACTTGGTCTGGATGGGGATTCAAGAGGAAAAAAAGGGAATCGATTCTACAAGGATTCCATGACTGACTTGCTGTGCGACGGTGGGTAGCTCATGGCAGATCCGTGCCTCTTACAATACAAGTTTCCACTGGTACGTGTAAGGAAAGGTCTGCCCAATGTTTGCAGGTCCTCCAGTGAATAAAACTACAGTGAAATGGCTGTTTACTTCCTGGGCTTGACTGTTCTCTTCTAGGTAATTTCCACTGGGTTCAAAGTGAATTCTGCACAGCGGGAAATCCATGGATCAAACCCAATAAAGGAATGGAGCCCAAGTAAGTAACGGTGTTACTCAGCTGTTTAGATCTGTGGTGACTTTTTATAGGGATTAGGATAAAGAACGATGTAGAAGAAGAGCCGACTTAAATGAAGCAATGTATGTAAAACTCTTTGCACACTCAAAAATGCCTTCCAAAGTTGTGTCATGATTACTATTTTTGTCAAGTATATTTAGCCCTTCCTTTGCTGGTATTTCAGAACTTCAGCTCTCCAAACTCTAAGCCGATTTTTACTTCTGATTGATATTCCTCTGAATGCTTTCTTCCAGGTTTTAGAAGACGGGATGAAGGTCTGGCCTCCATCCAATGCCAAATAAAGACTCCTTTGCACAAGGGACAGTGGACCTCATTCACGGGGTCCTTGGTCTAGGGAGGCAGGGCTGAGCATGTAGATTTCTTAACTACGAAGAATCCCTATCGAATCAGGGTGTATTTTCCTCCTGATTCCTTTTTGTTTCCTATATTTGTTTGATTTATAGTTTTCATTAAACCATAGGGTTGAATTTTTAAGATTGCTTTTTTCACCTGAGCATTTTATCAAAATCTTTTTTCTATCTTACAGAATACCCACTGAAGGACAACGATATAGCGGTCCCCACTGATTTATAGGTCGGATTATTTTCGATCATTAACTATAATAAACACAACTGCAAGGAACATCTTTACCCGTTTTAGATGTTCCCATCTCCATTTTCAAAAATCATTCCTTCAAGGTAAATCTTAGAAATGGAATTATTGGGTCAAAGGGGTAACTATTGTTAAGGTTCTCAACACATGTCATCAAATTGCTTCCCCACTACATCTAGGTCTTAGTGTTACCAATAATATATGAGAAGGTAGGAGTATATTTCCAATGGGAAAGCTAAGGGGGAACCATTTCCTACTTTTGTCCTTGCCATTGGCATGTGTCCACCTAACTGAACAGAGACCTGGCAAATACTCACCCCTGACCTGTACCACATGAAACCATTCACACTTTGTCTTCTGGGCTGGTGTTTGGCATGGGTGCAGTAAGGACTGCAGATATGGAAATAATCAGAATAAGGCAGATAACACTTGTGTAGTCATTATAACTCACCAAGTGCTACCCCCTACCCCCCCCACACACCCCAGACAGCCCTTTCTTTAATATATTATCCTCTGTTCAGTGACAAGGAATTGAGACTCAGAGAGGCTGATAGATTTAGCAAAGGTCACAGCTCATAGTGACCCAGCCTTCTGATGCCAAATCCGGGGTTTAGACTTTTTTTTTTCGTTCATAGCTGCCTTTCCAAAAATAGCCAAAATTAGCCAAAGTTTACAACATTATAATCAAGATTCAATTTTATATATAAAAAGCACTATAAGTAGTCATTTATTCTCATTTATTTATTCAACAGAAATGGGCTGTGTGGCTTCCCCCCTAGGAGCTTACAATCAAAGATCGGCTACCCTAGAAGTATGTCCAGGGTGTATGAGACTCAGGAGGAATAACTATCCAATTGGGGCAGAGGTGGATATTCTGTTAAGAGAGAAACATGATTTGGCTTCTGGACAACAGGTTAGAATTAGCCCTGAATGGGGGAAAGCAGAGGGGGCATTGTCGGTGTAAGGAGTCCAGTCACGTCCAGCATGGGCAGTCCTGCCTGTGTCAAGGGGCTGATGGGGCTGGAAAGTAAAAGAAACTGAGAAACAAAATAAGGGCCAAGCCAAGAGGTTAAATTTTATAAGTAGTCCCCCCTACTTTCACCCCCTGCAAAAAGAAATCTTAGGCTAGGCAGTAACATGATCAAGATTAGTTTTAGAAAAGTCATTTTGGCTACAGGGTGCAAACAGGATTATGAGAGGGAAAAACTGAGGGCCAGAGACTGGTAAGGAGGCTTCTAGAGAAATCAAGGCACGAGAGAACTGGCATGAACCAGGTTCTGGGAAAAGAAGGGATGGCTATCAGGCATATTTAGGGGGATCAACAGGACATGGTGATTGATTGCAAATTGAGGGGAGTATGGGAAGTGAATAATGAAGGTTAGGGGTTTGAACAATGAGACATATGGAGATGCTGCTCCCAGTGTTGCCAAAGAGGGTTAGGGGGTTAAACTGACAGCATAGGTGTGGGCACAAATCCCAAAAGAGGCACCTTCATGAGGACTGGTGTTGGGACCTCAGCACACATATCTAATACCCAAAGTAGAATTGCCCAAGATCAAGAACCCATGGTTTCATGGGTGGGCAGAAGCTAGATGCATTTCTTGTTTGGGCGCATAAACACCCTGTTTTGCAGGAACAAAGGAAAGGGCTTCCAGCTGAGATTAACTTTTGACAAACTTATTCCTAAATTGCTAAAAGATTTCTAAGTTCTCTTTAACAGTAACACAATTACTATGTAAGACAGAATACAATCTTCTTGCCCGTATCTCAGAGTACTTGGAAAATTTAAGACCAGATTATCAGAGTCACATTGGTACCTCTGTCCCCCTCCCCCACCTCAGAAGCTGTCCCTGGTCTGACAGCTCTTTCTTGATGGATTTAAGCAGTAGTCTTAAAACCTTAATACTAAATTTCACCAGCAAAACTTTCCCACAAGGCCAAAAAGAAACAATTTCTCAATTTCCTGTGATGTTTCACCCATTGGGAGTCGAGTCCTGCCAAACATTCTTTTCTATTCTGTTTAATAAGAGACACTTTATTCACTGCAAAATAAAGGGCTCCTTCAAAAGCAAATGTAGTTGCAGTGAGCTTAAAGGAACTCCTCCTTTTGGAATCTAGACCAGCAAAGATTCTAAATTATAAAATTAATCAAATAAATCCATTTACAATGAAGAAAGTTCAACCTTCCCTGACCAGAGGAGAGAAATGTATTTCTTTAAATGGCACATTAACACATTAAGAACTCAAAGATAGAACTTAAACTATATAAAATAAATGGCAATGAGGATTGCTTTTCAAATATCTCCCAAAGGAAACAGTAAAAATTTAGGGGGTTGAAAAGGAATATTTATGATGCCAGGGAAAGAATCAGAGAAGAGAGCAACAAATAGGCGATGTGAAGAAATCTAATCTTCCCTGTGGGTGCTGGCTTGCACAAACTAAAGGAGATTGTTAGAAGGGTTCTGATCTCGAGAGAATGAATTTCTGAATTTTTTTCCCTTTTAAGTTTCAGGAAAAAATCATTTTTGTATGTCAGGAGAAAAATCAGCTTCCCTCCCTTTTAACTCTGGAGAGATTAAAATTTGCTGTGTTCTAAAATGTAATTTCTTTATATTTTAAGGCAAGACTCACCACCCTCCAACTCCAAGAAAAGCATCTCTAACATCCTAATGGAAGCAAATGGGAAAATATGATTCACTGACAGAAATATAATCACCTCCAACTTCTTATGGCCACACCCACTCCCTAAAGGACACAGGGAAGTGGAGCTCTGGGCTGCCTTTGCTGCAGAGAAAGTGGGGACCAGATAGTGTCGAGCCCAGAATAGACACTCAATAAGCGCTTGATGGAGTAGCCAGTTGCCTGTTACCTCAAATAAAGAACTAGGAGGACTGGCCCTTGGAGTGGAGGGAAAATGAATGGATGCTTCATTGGATGCTTTGCTGACACAATAAGCATCACCCGTTCCAAGTGACACACAATCAGCATGAGTAATAGTTGCTTCAAATTAATTCCAGCTCCTCAGGCCACTGAACAGTGCAGTGTGGTGCCAAGTTTCCACTTCAATTTAATCTTAATCTTTCACTTAAGGACACAACCTTTATGTAAGTCCCATATCCACTGATGAGGAAGTGGACTTGATTTGAGTTACATTGGTTGTGGAAATCATGATGCAAAGGGTCCTGGAATCCTCCTGACCAACTTTCATTGGCTTCATCCCTTCCCTTTCTTCAAATGCCAATGTGACTTATTATATTGTTCTCCAAGTAACATTGAACACTTCCAATTCAAAAACTATAAAGAAAAATAAGTGTATTTTATTTATTTATTTTTAAGATATATTTTTATTGATTTCAGAGAGGAAGGGAGAGGTAGAAAGAGATAGAAACATCAATGACGAGAATCATTGATTGGCTGCTTCCTGCACACCCCTGCCCTTGACCGGAATCAAACCCAGGATCCAGTTCGCAGGCTGATGTTCTATCCGCTGAGCCAAACTGGCTAGGACAAAAATAAGTGTGTTTTAGCTTAAACTGCTTGCTGCTCTCTGAAATATTTATTTTCTTCTCTTTTTCCTGGGCCCACAGCTAGACT